GCACTAACCATGAGGCCACTGCACCTCCTCCTGCATGATCATACCTGAGCAGTTATTGTGAAATAAATGGGCCCACAGGGAACCAATTTTGTTATTGATGATATAAGACGAGAGATGTAAATTTTTAGCTACAATGTAGGTAATGGAAGCCATTACCTCCAAGCACCAGGCACTGGTGCTTTATCCACTGTGCCACAGAGAGCTCATGGTGAAAAAAAAGGCCTTTAATTTTACCATCTACACTGTTCTACGCTGCACAGTGATGAAATATATGACATGATGATAAATCTCAGCTCATTAGTGATATCAGGGCTCGACACTAACTTTTCAACTGACTCGCCTAGTGGCTAGTGATAACTTAGATGTTGCTAGCCAGAAAAATGTTTTTACTAGCCAAGCGTTGAGGTTGGCTACCTTACTACATGAAATTTTCGAGACATGTTTATTTCATGGTTTGGGGGTGTGTATATTTTGTGACACTGAAATTCTGCCTGTCGTAACGGTTGAGGAAAAGGCAAGGGAATAGGCCATTTCTGGGTTTTGTAATTTGCCTCGAGAGCCTTTTCAAGTGCCTCTGTTTCAAAACGAGTCCTTGTGTGAAACTTTCTATATAAAAATAAGTGATAAACCTATTTTCATATGAATGGTTTCGAACGAAGACTCGTTTTCACACAGAGGTAGTGGGAAACTCGGAAATGGCCTCATAAGTGTTATGCAATGCACAGTAGGCTAATTTCATAAAATTTGTCTTTAAAGTTAGGTTGCTCTCAGAGCCGATCCTTTTCCTCAAGTTTTGGAGCCTAAAGGGGCTTGTGTTGTTGCTTCCCCTCAGTGCCTCGCATGTTACTCCTCAGTTTGTTTGTCAGTTTCAGTTTCGTAACCCACAGATACTCGTTTAACCTACTGGTTGTGGAGAGCCACTAGGAGGGTCAGTTGTTTTGTCACGGACCCCCTCGAGTCCGGAGGACCTCTCAATACGGAGTCTAAAGCAGCGACGGTGTGTTTCCTGAAAAGTGGTAATGAGACCAGGACAGTGGAGTGCTCTATTCCATCTTCAATGCTATTGCTGGCTAGCGAACGCCTCTCTCTGTAGTTTTGCAATCTTTTCTTGCTTTCTGCCTGATTCGTTCGCTTGATTTGTTCTCTGATTATGGAATTTCAAGTGGAACAAGTCAGAGTAAAGTGGGGACCTTCAAGGTTCCTCTTGCTATCTTTTCCGACAGCAGTAGTTTCGTCAATTTCTCGAAACTTCTGATACGAAGATTGTATGAAAGTAATAATACTCGGGCGTTGTTTTTGCTTTCAGATCCTCCTTAATACAGCTTATTTTGACAAGCTTCTGAGATTCCTTATCACGAACAAAACTATCTCTGGCATTCTACTCAAGACAATTCAAGCCAACAGGTAACTTCACTTGTACTTTTTTAAGTCGTATGTGTGTTCAGACCGGGCGATCGATGCTGGACAAACATGACTGAGAAGCTGTGACTACTGTGACATCCAAAAACTACCCTTGTGATAAATGAAACCTCCCAAAATGCTGCTCTTCTTTTTGAAAAACCCTCTCGGTTTCTGTAGCATGAAGCGACTAGGAGTATTTCTGCTCCTCCCTGGATGGGATGCTGGTTCATCGCCGGGTCACCCCCAGCATTAAGTTCGCGGGTACCCATTGATACACCTGAGAGAGGCACTGTGACAGTAATGTGTCCTGCCCAAGAATACAACACAATTTCCCCGGCCAAGGCTTGAACCCGGACCGCTGGATCCAGAGACGAGCGCACTAACCAAGAGGCCACCGAGGCTCCCCACTATCCTACTAACTGCCTCAAAAATTACCAGAGTAGCAAATTTTGCTCAGCCCCCAAGACAATCCTACGTACCTCCTGACTTGTTAATCCTTGAGCAGTCTCTCCAAACCTCATTTGGGGTTTAGTGATGTTCTTCCTTGTTTTACCCTCCATAGTAAGCTGGTTTTAGTACAAAAGTGTTCATAACACGAAGTGGTCTATTCTGCGGATTTTCTTTTCAGGTTGGAAAACGCTACACAGCTTGTTCGGCTGTTTCATCAAGCTCACCCTGACTTGCCCTCGTCCAAATATGTGGCTTCTCAGCAGATGACGGGATTTGACGAACTTTGGGTAAGTCGTTAGAGCCATGTCAGATGTTTGGAAGAAAAGGGAAAGAACACATTGTGTAAAAATGTGTAAGGCCATCCTAAGCTGAAGTTGGCCAACGCAAAATTACTTGGTTTTACTATTCTCTGCAATGTAACATTGTAATTTTTTTTTCACTTCTCTCATAGGCCTTCCTAGAAATGCACGGTATGTTAGAAGCCTGTCTTCCGTTTCTACCCAAGGTGGACGCTGACCTCGACGATGAGCCCACAGAACAGCAGTCCCAGTCCCTATGGGTTGAGGAAGCAGAAGAAACAATGGAACAGACAAATATTGAAGATCAGCGTGATGATTTCATGATCACGCTTACTGGAGACTGTAGTGTGGAGATTCCACTCTAGAGGAACTTTGTGAAATTATTTAACTGACGTAAAAGCTACTGATATATTCACGGGAGGAACAGTAGCAATAGGCCATTCTCGGTATTGGACTGCAACCAGCGTGCAACCGAGGCTAACGCAGGGAGTCGTTTCAAATGCAAATGACGTTTGTCTCTTTTTAATGCTATTCCCCCGCATGAGCCTCCATTGCAAGCTAGTTCCAGTCCAATACCGAAAATACAAATGTAGCCTAGTAATCCGTCTTCGTTTCGATACTCTGCTTAAGAGAAGTTTAACTAATATTCATCTCGTCTATTGAGACTGGCGAACTTGGATTGCCGTAAAACGGCTTTGCTGTGTTGCCCCTGAACAGAGATATTGTAATAAAGTTCAGAAAGACTGAACATCTTCATGATTTCTTCTCAAATTTCCCTCTTTCACGAATCAGGTAATGATACCAGAGTATGCTAACATGGATGGCTGGCATCAAAGGTATGCGAAGTCTTCCTCCCCAAGCCTTACTCGGCTCGCTTCGTACAAAGTGGACTGGTGTAATTTTGGCAACAACTCGATTTACAGTCAACAATAACTGCAGGGAATCTAGTAACTGCTGTGATGCGCTTGCAAAGAACACCGATCTAAAAGACCTTGTTAGCTTTGGCGATTTGTTTGCAGTTACAATCACGTGATATTCTTGAGAGAATTGTTCTTTTATCCATCTAAAAATTATTCATTCATATACACGCGACTGTTTGAAACTTTGAAAGCAAGAATTCTCAAGAGTATCATCACAAGGTCTGAAATGGGACAACAAACTGCCCAAGCTAAAATATTACTGGCAGAATTCTCACCAGCTCATTGGTCGAAATGTGATCGAAGACAGCAGGAAAGTGACGTCACTGCAAGAAAGCCAGGCAGCTTGCGGGAAAGCGTGAGGTAACACGACTTTTCCAGTAAACGGAAACCGAATAGTTTTTGAAAGGACAATGACAAACTTGGTGCGCAATTTCCCAAAAGCCCATGGTCTCCGGTTTTTAACATTCTATGCTGTCATTTCTGTACACTATTTAGCAATTAGATTATTCGCTCTCGATTTCTATGAGGTGATAGTTGATGAGGCCGCAGGCCGAATCAACTATCGCCTCATAGAAATCGAGAGCGAATAA